ATTGCAAAATTTTATCATGTCCTTGTACAATATTTCAGCTTCTTCTCTAAGGCTTAAGTCTCGACGGCTCATCTTTTCCGCATACGAGACGTCAAATGTCTTCTTATTATACTTTTTGGATACGTTTTTTGATATAAGAGTTTGGTCTTCACGAATCGGTTTTAAATTGTACCTTTTGATAAACTCTTTGCACACATAACTTTGAATTTCCTTCATTTCATTATAATACTCGGCCTTTAAAAACCACGACCTAATGTTTCTCTCGATAGTTCTTATTTGTAAGTTGGAAAAATAACTTGAACACTTGAATATTTCGTCAATAAAAGTCCTGGGTATTTGTCTAAGAGGAAACATTGCGTTTTCGTGGTTTTCACTTTCAAAAAACGACTGAATGAAAGGCTCTGCAAATTTTCTACCTTTGTAATCTTTGCATACGATATATGTTTCTGAATTTCCGGACTTACTGGTGNTGTAATCTTTGCATACGATATATATTTCTGAATTTCCGGACTTACTAGTGGCTGGTTTCTGAATTTCGACAGATTTAAATAGACAACAAAGCAAATATATTCTACAAATTGTGTTACATTCGAATATCGTAAACGTTTTTAATACAAATGATCCTCTGTCTTTTAATATGTTCAAACCTACCATTACCTCATAATTATGTAAACGCATGACAGTACATTCTTGTTCATTTGGATTATTTTGACAATCTATACTTCCATCGGCCGTTACCAAACTTACGCCGTCTATAAATCTTTTAGAAACCGTCTGCAATAAGTGTTCGTGATACTTCGGTTGAAATATGTCACCAGTATAGTCCGGACCGAATTCCCATTTGTCTAATGTGTTTAATATTAAGCGGTCATCAGTAATAATTTCAGGTTGGCCATTGGATTCATGGTACGGGTTAAGTGTCATGGCCAACCAATCGAAATTTAAATTACGATGATTTAGTGATATGTAATGATTCAGCGCAGAAATAAATGCNGTGATTTAATGATATGTAATGGTTCAGCGCAGAAATAAATGCTCCGGGAGCTTCACAGAGATGTACAGAGTTGAAATTAGCTTTGGATGTATGTTCTTGAGTAATCAAAGTAGAATTACCTAAGATTTCATAGAACTTACACCAAGCCTGAGTCAAAAAATCAGGACGTATATTTTTCTTAAGATGACCAATGACTAATCCAGCAGGATTCATTTTGGTTGTATGTGCA